TCAATTATTTAGTCGACAATGTTTATCTTTTCAACATTTGAAGGGGGTTCATTAAATCCAGCTGCTAAGGCATTGCATTAGCATGAGTAAAAGGTGCACACCTGCGGAGGGTAGGCTGGCTGAGGAATACTGAGGGGTGAGAAGAGCAGAGGGGACTATCTTGAAAACCTTCGTGTACCTGTCCCCTTGATGGTACAGGCTTATCTACACCTCAGTTGTGTAGGAAGATGTGGCTGTAATGCAGGACAGCCACAGGTACCAAGTGTCCGACTCAGTGATTCAGCTTATGAGCTCTGGCTTTCTACATGCACCCTGGCTCTGAGAGGGCTGCTCTGCCCAGGATCATTCACCCCCACCTTTGACCTGGTTCTGTTCCCTATTATTATCCGTTAAAAACAGTCAGCAGGGTGATAGCTTGTGCAGACCAAGAATCACAACAGGATCTTGGATAAGAAGAAATAAAAATCTGTCCAACATGTGGTACCATTAAAGAGCTGTAGCTGAGATATATTGTTTACAGTCAGCAGTTGCCTGGAAAATAGATGTTTACTTGTAGTTAGTATATTAAGACCATTGCCATTAGACTATGTATGGTCTGTATTGTGTCTTCTCTTATAGAAAACTCTGCATTGGTACAAACATTTAATTAGCAACTCCTGTGGCAATGAAAAAATTCAACGCCAATATTCTATGTTGGAATTTGTGCTTATGAGAGAGACAAAAGGGAATCATTTTTTCTGTGAAAAGATGACCTTTTTAACAACGGCATAGTTCACTTAAAACTAAGTGAAATATTTACTAAAGATTGGAAAAATGTCCCTACTATTCATCAAGAACTTAAACATGCTGTGTTCTAATTCCCCTAAAGAAACACTTTTGATGAAAAGTTTATTTTTAAGTGACTAGATTATGTGTAAAGACATGCAGGTCTCTCATGAGTTTCTTCAGATGATGACAACACTGGATTTTCCTGTTGCATAATAGGAAGATGGACCACTCTTCCAGAACAGGGTTGATGTCACAAGACTGGTATCTTGCTCTTGCCTTTGACATATTATAAACTTTATACCTCTATTAGAAAACAGATTCATACCTTGGGTGGTCCCAAGCCTCTAAAGTTTGGGACAGCATTACATTTTAATTACTAATTCACTTAAGACAACTAAGTCTAAATTAAACAAGTGGCCTCTGCAACCTGAGTAGCCCTTCTATAGCTTGTCCATATTCTTAGATGATGGCTAACCTTTGCTAATCTTGCTTCTCTTACATATAAAGTAGGTTTGTGATAAGGCTTAATGAAAAAAAAAAGCACATATCAACACATCTAGGACATACTCTATCAGATAACCATCAATCAGTCTTATGAGGGTGAAATATTTGGCTAGGTACTGAGAGACTCTTTCATGACTGTGCACAGAAACAGCAGCTGATCTCTGGGCTTTATCAGGATGTATGGATGAAGGAATAAAAGGCTGTCAGAACAAGCCCTGAAATGTTAACTCCCAACTTTACAGATTAACCAACCAATCCTGTGTCAGATCATAATTTCCTTTTCTCTTCATCTTCTAACTCTTCTGCAGTACAAAGTAGGAAAAGCGTACATCTTCACCAAGAACTCCCATAAGTCAAACAACAAATGCTTATTGAGTATAAGACAGTGAGCCTAGTGTTCTAGAACACTGCCTGGGTTCTAGAACACAGCTCTGCAAATGTACACGATGCAGTGAAAACCTTCAATAATAGTTTACTTGTATTATCTGTTATTAGTTTTAGATGATCAGATAGCATAAAACGAATACCTATATACTTATCTTGTCTATTTCATTCCCTGCCAAGTATCCATTCCATAATATAAGCTCACCTGGAAAACTCAGATCTGCTGTCACAGTAAGAAAGAGTCCTTTCTTACTGGATGGCAAGGGATCCCAAAGCGGCTTTGGGATCTGCTAGAATAAGTCACTTTTGGGTTATCTCTCGCCTCTGCTTGCACTTCTGAGCCAAACTCAGGAGAGAAAGACTGCCCAAGGGCTGCCACCATCCAAATCTGTTTTCCAAAATAGTATATTTTTCCGTTTCCCTTATGGTATGCCATTATTTAGTTGGGTTCACAGATCTGGTTTAATAAGAAAGTTTTGAAAAAATCCTGGAATTATATTCTTCAAATGAACTTTCACGCCTACAGTATAAACCCCTTTTGGTTCAGAACTATCCCACTTAAAAGTGTCCACTTATAATTCCCAGCTGCTGGTTCCTTCCCTGTCATATTCACGAGTGCACACAGGAACACACAGATACACATGCATGTTTGCATGCATGCATACTGCTGCCACACACCCACACAGGGACTGAGTATGTACAAGCATCCAGAAAAAACAATGTGTTGTAAAAACTGTCCTGTTGAGTGTGTAATCGCGTTTGAGTTACTGAGTGCTGATAAGTAAAGGAAGTGCATCCAGACAGCTTAATCCCCCAATTTCCTGTCTTCTAATCAGCCCCTGATTCTCTTGGTTTTAAATTAGAAACACTCCTGACAATATTCAGGACAGGTGAAGGAAAATCAACTAGAAAATAAGGAAGGACAAAGCATTTATTTCGCTGTCTAAAGTTCACAGGAGAAATATGAGCGTAACAACAGGAAATCAAGATTTCTGGAAAGATAGACGTGCATAGGCTAGCTTGAGCAACCAATCGCATTTCTGAATGAAGCACATTTGGACTATAATTAGATTTAAAGAGAAAAAAGGAACTAGTCTAATGTATTTGCTTCTCTCTAAGAATAGTGACTTGTATTTGAAAAGAAGTTGTACAAGGCCAACCTCAAAGGAAATGATAAGGACAAATGCTTAATGTTAAATAGAAGAAAAAAGCCAACTATACCCCATGCAGGTTTTTCTTAGAACCAGTTGCTGCCAATGCTGTGAAAAACTATTTGGAAATACAGAAACATCTGAAGTTGATAGGTATTCTTATAAATTAACATAGTTTCATATATTTACAATGGTGGATAATATTTAAAATTGTTTACTTAACGATTAGCTCAGATAGAGCCATTTCACTGTGCAAAAATATTTTCTTTTGTTTTTATTGACACAGGGGCTCCCAGAAGAACCAGGTGGCCTGGAACTTGGTATGTGGACCAGGCTTGCCTCAATCTCACAGAGATCCACCTGCCTCTGTCTTCTGAGTGCTGGGATTAAAGGTGCGTTCCAGTATGCCCTGCTTTGCAAAACTATTTTCAAAAGAATGTGCAAATGCATGAAATGCAAGTATATAAATGTTTGCCGTGGACTCTTTTAAAAACATACAAGGTGTTGAGAATTCATTAGGCTTTCTTATGTTCTTATTCTCTGGTTTTTGAGTCTTTTCATTTCTAGCTATTATAGCAATTTGCAAATTATTTGAATCATTATCTTGAAAGAGCTGGTGCAAATTCCTAGAAAAATCGTCATTAGGCAGTATCTTAAAAGGCATGTAGAAAAGGCCATTGAGGAAAGTTGTTCAGTTGAGAATTAACATTTGAAAATTTAAATGGGAAATATACCTTATGATGCGAATCTCAGCAAACAACAGCGAAAGGTTTCCATGAAATATGAAGGCTGCCAGTCATTTTAGAAGTAGGCTGGAGTTCATGATTTTTAATGGGTAAACAGAGTAAGACAAGTATTTCACAGAAATACTGTTTTGGTTTTTTTACATGTGTATTCAAAACTAGGCATTTATACTACAGGGCATACCATAGTCTTCTTCCAACTGTGTTCCTAGCATATCAAGTCTGAATTGTAAAAATCTGGACTAAATGATAATTATTGATTGAAAATGTATGTGTCTATTTCTAATGAGAAATTGTCCCAAATAAGTAGTTGGGGAGTTGGCCTGAGTGATCACAGCTGGTTACAGAGCCATCTAGTAGTCTCTGATTTAGTTATCATGAGTTTTAAAATTGAACGATAGAAAGAAGCAAGTGTATTTTGGAATTCGCATACAAATTGTCCCATAACAAACTGTTATCACTAAATTAGTGTGGAGAGGGGAATAGTTGTTCTTTCTGCATTTTGATGCTGTATGGGCAGAATGGAGGCAATCCACTGGACAGAATTCTATTCTGGGTGCTCCCGTTTCATTTGGAGTGGAGAAAAATTTCATGAGGGCTTTCTTTAGTTTTCTATCGGAAAGTTTCAACTAGAGATGTCATAACCCAGCTAGATTAAGTTGATATGTAATATCTATTTCTTGATTTGCATGATTAAAGCATTAGAGAAGTGGCTCAGATATCAAAAGATTTCTCATAAGTGGCAGCGCCAAAGGTAATTACTGTTAAAACGTGCACGTTTGAACCTGGTTGCTTGCTAACTTCCAGGTTGTTTACAACCCCGTGGGTTTGAATAAAAGTTTTCATTAGACTTTGGGATGTCCAGAGCCCTTTTCTGCTCCATTTTGATATAAAAATACATTTTTTAAGATTTCTTGTATTCATGTCCCTCAAGACAACATTAACTTTAACCCTAAAAAGTGATAGCCAAAGATGCACCTTCTCAGTATGTACTTTATAAAATAACTGCTTCTTAAATGAAAGTAGTCTTTTAAAGCTAAAACTTATACTTAAAAAGAATGAAGATTAATTTATTCAGTTCATGTCCAGTTAGTTATTAGAAGGCACCCTAAACCACACTGTAAGCCAGAGTAGTTATGGGGGGCAGGGAGGGAAAGAAAGAGGAGAGGGGTTGTTATTCTTAGTCTTTTATTAACCAGTTCTTTCATCCTAGTGTGTCTTTATTATTTAGAAAATTAAAAAAAAAATGATCCAGGGCTCTGTCCATTCACACCTAAATTCTGGAATAGGTAATGACCCTCCACAACCTGGCCCAACATATGCCCCCAAACTAAAACAAACAAAGTCATTTGCCATACAAATTGTTTACGATTCATTAAAAAGCAAAATTGCATATCCTGGTCCTGGCAGCTGAGGCCGAGTCTCCACGGGCGGAGGGGCATTCACTGAGTTGCCTTTGTATGCTGGGAGGACCAAGCCGGAGGTTCCCACTATGAGCCCGGAGTCTGTGCAGCCAGATGACACAGGAGGTAATTTTAAAGCTTTATTTGCCTTTAATGTGAAATTCAGATCTTGTACTGTCCTTTGCTTGAAGAACCATATCAGCCAAGAGAAGTTTATTTTTCCAGTTGGGAAAAATTGTTTGGATTAGTGATATGGGGATATCGAAGGGGGAGGGGGGCTGCTGCTGTTCAGGGAAAGAGGTTTAAAAGAAAATGTGAAATTTATATTCTTTTAATTAGTCGATTCTCCCTTCATTAAACCCTTTCCTCAATTTACCATTGATAATGGCAAATTTACATCAGAATTATTTGTAACAGGTAGATTTAAAATCCTGCAGCGTACAGTTACTTTAAGGTAACTAAAACAATCGGTTTATTCCCTATGGAAACTTCTCTAACTTCTTTAAAGAGCACTCTGGTTTCTCATCCCTTATTCAAAGCAAAAATCCAGAAGCATTGAAGTTGAGAGAAACTTCTTGCAGGACGCAGCCTAAACAGCAGTGCGTGAGCTTTCAGCCTTGTTTATTTTTAGTCAAATGCATTGCTAAATGTTTCTGCCACTTTTAGATGTTATATTCCCTGCGGTAAAACATCTGTAAAATAATTTTAAATACAAAGCGACTTCCAAGTAAACTTTACAGAAAAGAAATTACAGTTTTCCAAATTAAAAGAAAAAGAAGCCTTTGGTGACCTTTGACAGAAATAAAAGAGATGACACAATTTGCCATAAAAAGTAACAGTCTGTAAAATCTAGGACCTCTTGAAATATAATGTTTTACCCAGAACATGACATCAGCATACAGTTTTTTTTAAAGCTTACAACTTAGCCTAGAAAATAATAGCCAAACCAATCAGTATATTCATTTGCAGTGCTTAACAAGCTGTGTAAGTCTAAGCAATAGTCAGCATCATCGCAAACAAGCAAACCTTGTTCTTGCTGGCAGAAAGTCTAATGGGAAAATAAATGCCTTGAATAAAAGTTCAGGATCATAATGGATAGATTATTGCAAGTCTCATTAGCCAAAAGCTGCAAGTAACACTGTCCTGCAACCACTGGTAAAGCTTGTGCTGTCTAGTTAAGAAATCACAAGATAAAACATACATGTACACACATACCCACAACCACTTTTACTCAAGTCCTTGGAAGGGACATACTGAATCCCAAGCAGCAGCCGAATAGAATCCTGCGGTAGTTCACTTTTAATAGTCTCTCAGTCCTCCGAATTCCTACATCTTGCCAAAATGATACCACCATTGGTCCAAGAAGGGAAAGTGTTCTTTCTGTAGCTCGTACAGTGAACCATGGCCTGTTTTGTAATTCCATTCGCCAGTCTCCCCTTCAACATCACGCACACTCTCTCTTTTTCTTAAACTGATATCTATGTGAAATGAGCTGAGGTTCACGGTCCAGTTAGGAACGGATAATACGTTCATTGTCCTGGCAGCAAACTTTTTTCACCCCCTGGAAGAATTCACGCTTGCTGCAAGAATAATAATTACGGAAAACTAGAAATGCAGTGCTAATGAATTAATCCTTAACGGACACCACCCTAACGAGGACAGTAATGACTTGAGGACTCTTCCTCACAGGACAGTGAGCTATTGTGCATCCTTCCAATTCACTCTACCCTTATAGATCTCAGAAGTCAAAGGTTGTCTGGCCTGGTTGACCGTGACATGTGAGTTAACTCATTCTGCAGCTTCAAGTTAGAAGTTTCTTAAAACTTTACTCTGACCCAGAGTAACCAAAAGAAAGGGTGTATGGATCTTTCAACTGGGAATTGGAGGTTCTAAAAGGTGCAAGACCTGCTCTGACATAAACAAATGTGGAAAAGTTAGATGTGGGACCTACCATCCCCTGATGGGAGGTGGGGAATGGAAACTCTCACAGGTGACTTCCGCCACATCCAATTCCTAGGGCAGGACAGGATTCACTCAGGGCTTGCTTCCCCCCAGTGCCCAACATGCGCCCTCAGAAAATAGCACAGCCAAGGAAAACCATGCACCCCATAGTTCCTGAAAACAAAAGTAAAGGGGATGTGAAGCCAGAGAGAGGGGACGAAACCCGAGGGGCAGGACAAACAGCTCCTAGGTTCCCAGCTTCACACCAGCATGGCTAAAATACATAATTCCACCTTGAAACTTCTGATACTCTCAAAAATTTTTTTGAAATATAGAAAACGTCAAACACTGTCCCATGGAAACAGGGGCAAGCGTTGCTGGAACTCAAGTTGCAGAGTGGCAGAGAGAGGGAGGTGGCAAGAAGCAGTGAGCCTGCCTCACTGAAGAGTGTGAAAAAAATCAAATGTGAGTTTGATGAATGTGAGGTCTGGGACATTTTGTCAAAGAGGGAGGGAAAGTAGAAAAGGGGGGGGGAAGGAAGAAAAAAAAAGGCAGTCCCGGCTGCCAACTCACCATCCACCACGTTCTGGCCGAGATGTCGTAGCAGAGTTGCCATTTGATGGAGCCGTCGGAAGCTTTTCCTGCCATGACGCTGTCAGCAAGCTTCATCTGATGCTAACTCACGGGAGATAAGACACCTAATTGAGAAAACATTTGCAGTGGCATGTGGGGCAACATGTAGTCCAGTCCATACCATATGGAATCATGGGTAAAAAAAATCTCCTTGACAATGAACCAATCTCTCTCAGACCCGGTGGCAAGGTGAGGGGGAGATGAAAAAGTCTTCTGCTGCAAGCACTGTCTTCTCTCCTTTAAAACAAGAGCCCACTGCCTCACATCAAAGGGAGGTGGTTAGAATTAGGGCTTCATCACTCAGATGATTTTGGTCTGCAAGGTTTTTCCTTTCCTTCCAACAACCAATCCCCCCCTCTTTTTTTTTTTTTTTTTTTTTTTTTTTTTTAAGGAGAATAAAGAGATTTAATAGGACAAAGGCAGGTAGTGGACTGCGAGGGAGATCGCCACAGGCTATTAGCCTAAAATTTCTCCCTGACAGATGGAACTGCTTAGAGACTATCATGCAATGTTTGGGGCTTTTTTTTCCCCTCCTACCCCCACAACCACCCAGACTTTAAGTCTGATTCAGTATCTGTTTTTCACAGCCACTTTTCTCAAGAACGGTGAGCTGTGCATTTCAGAAAGTGTTTGGTTCAGTTTTGCTGTGTTACACATACTCGGTTGGAAGCAAAGCACAAAGTCTAAAACTAAATCTGAGGGTAGCTGAACAGGTTTTCCAAGGAGAAAAAAAATTCCAGGGGAAAATATTTCTCTTTCTGTATCTTTTTTTTTAACTAATTCATTAATGAATTTGATTCTGAAGGAACCTAAATGCAAGATGCCGGTATTCAAGCCCCTTGATTTCTGGTTCAGTTGGTATTGTATTTGGTTGTGTGTTTTCATGTGAGCAAATAAATACATTGCTGATATGCTACGTAGTCTAGTCATATTATCTATATTTTTGATGCCGTTAAAAATTAATTTTGGACATCTCTTCATAAATAAAATAAGCAGTCATTATCAATTCATTTTCACACGATTAGGGGTAAACTTGACACGATTGTCTCTTTAATGAGGAAAAACATTCCAGCTCTCCTTACTATAGTCTGGCAATTTTTATAGGGATTTTAAACTACACATTTTTGCATAAAAACACAATAACATGGCCTACCAATAAGAAGTACTACAAAAATGAATTTTTTTTAAGCGAGAAAAATTCTAGACCTCTGCTGAATTTCAAGCCGTTTATTCAGTACTTATGGGGAAAGGGAACCAGACAGAATCTCTCACATTTGTTTGATTGCATTCCTTCAAGTGGAGTCTTGCAGGAGCAGCAGACACACCTTTCCCAGAGCATCACTCCAAACGCATCCGGACTTTTTCTGAATATAGGTGATCCTGGGATCCCCATGATCAGAGACACTTTGCAGTTCTGTACCCAGAGGCCTGCATGCAATGTGGACACTCAGAGGATGGGAGAAGCGATCACCATTTCTCACAGTGTTCATACTGTGATTATTTAAAAAGTTGTACATCAACAGCCCAACTTGCCAATGGATTTTTTTTTTTCAAAGCATGTTTTAAATTGAACTTATGTTTAGATAACCTTTTTCCAGGTCATATTTCAGGTTGCAAAGAGGTTAAATTTAGTGGCCTTTTGTGCTCTTATTTCTGATCCTTTCCTTAATAGTAATAGGGATCATTTTAAGTATTTAGTATCACGGTAATATAGCAGATAGCTCTTTTGACCAAAATAATTTCAGTAAAGCAAATTTTAATGAGTTGCATCATGTGTTTTCTCACTTCAAGCATGGCTCATGGGCTGCATTTAGGAGTGAACTGTAGGTATAGAAACTGGACATTTTTCTTTCTCATCTCCTGTTATAATGGGATTTCTTCTAATACCATGAGCATCAGAGAATTGTTCTCACTCTTCCAAAGCCTCTTTATGCTACTTGCATGTCCTTGATCTTGGCTCTCTTTGAAGAGTCTGGAGTTGCACAGCAAAGGCCAGGTTGGCTTCAGTGTCCACTCAAGGACACATGTGCTCCTTCTTCTAGAAACACACCCTGAGCTTCCCTGCCAGAACCCTCACAGCCCTGTGTAACTGCAGTGTCCTGGAAATCACTATCTGGAGAAAGACAAGGAAAGAATTTTAAAATTCTATATAATATATAAAGTAGCAACTTGGCCCCCCAAAGAAACAGAAAAAGAGGCAGCATTCTGTCCATGAATCAACCTCCTACTTCATCCTACCCATTCCTACTTGTCTAAGTTTCTTGCTTTAGGCTCTGAGCTTTTACTTTAGCATAAAGACACACAGACACCTTGCATTGGTGAGGCCGCGGTGTTTCCACATCTAAGCGTGTCTATTAGCAGCCTCTGAAGTTGGAGGTGTTTCTTGTCCAAGCTGCTGTGTTTCGGAGACTCAGAACATTTTATGCTTTGTCAGTTATTCATGAATGAATGGGACACAGGCAAAACTGAAGTCCAGATTTCATTTTGTGAATGATGACTTCTGGGGAGGGTTTTGCAGGAGGTAGCATAGTAGTAGATATTTTTGGCTAATA